CTGAAAGGCTTATACCGGCACAAATTGATCATGGACATAATGATGCAACACGTTCAGAAAATCTGACACGGGTTCATCGCTTCTCCACCAAACATTCCAGCCCTTACTGGGATCTCGGCACGCGCCAAATATAACATCAAGTGTCAATACTGCCATTTATGGAACTGCACGTTGACTCCTTTTCTATCACGAATGACAGGAGAGCTCTTGGCGGGCGATTGGGCTGTTGTTCGTCATGGCTGGGGGGGAAATACAACGTGCGTGTATCAGCGCCATGAATGATTTTCGCGTGGCGATCTTGCCCGGCTTTCTAAGAGAAGCAGCGCCCATTTCAGTCACAAATTTGATGAACCAGTCCCAAGCGATCACGCACCCCAATTAGCAAGGTAAACTTGATCATTTCGGTGAGACTGTTGTGAAGGGACGCCGCCATAAATATGGGGGAATATAGGCAAAGCGGATGGGAAGAAAACGAGTTGGACTAGAACTGGCAATGTTGCTCATGTCCACTTCTGGCGACCATTTGTAACTGCTACAGACTGGCCCTAAGAGGAATGAGTTCTAGATCTTATACGACCCTAAGCTTCAATGGGCTTCAGCTATTCAATTGAGCCAAAACAACACGCATATCAACGGGTGTAGTCGATTGAGCTGCATTCACAGGAGTATCAGCCCCAGGCTTCTGCACTGACGGGTCTGACCCGTGACAGAAGTGGTCACATTCTAGATTGAAAAAAATAAAACCTCAAGGTGCACAGCTTCCAAGTTGTACCCATGGAGCTGGAGGCAGTTCCATTCACCCATACCAACATTGTCGACTGCGGGGTGGTTTGCATAATCGTCGACGGACGAGAGTCCCAGAGCGTATGTTGTCAAAACCCTAGGCTCATCAGTCACCTCGAGGGATGTTTTTGATCGGATGTCGTTGAAGCTGCAAATTAGAAGCGTCTTAAAGATGACTGTTCACCAACGCCATCCTCGGATCACAGGCTAGAATTATACAGGCCTCTCTCATGTACACAAAGCTAACTGGCCACGGTCGACTTCACTCTGTAATAGTCTTAGGCTCGGTTCTCTTGACTTTGAAGAGACCAAGAATCCCTATGTAGTATTCATTTATGACTCACAAGATCTTGATAAGAGCTTGGAACTACTCCTTGCGTTGCAAAATGAATAGACGCAATATCATCACTCCTTTCCAAAGTACTACCTCGCCCAAGCTGACATATCATTTAACCAGGTTTCACTTGCCGTCTGCCATGGAGCACCCTGAACGCCACGGGCTCCGTTGGGGCTTATGTGAGCTTTGAACGTGAACCTGGTGCGTTCAGGTGCCAACACGTGGTTTGGCATTCCTGATTACTATCGACTCAGCGTTACACGAAGACGCAAGAGCGTAGGGAAAGGAAGGTCTTCGAGCCCGTCGTTGGTTAGAGCGGGCCCACGATTTACACCGACTGCCCGCTTGCTCCACTGCAATCAGGGCTTGTGCCCAACTCCGTGGCCCGGACTCACAAGCCATCGGCATGTTGCTGTACTGCGAAGCACTAGATTGTCGTCCCATGCGCATTCTCCGAATAGTCCGTGCCCGAACTTTTGATCCTTGTGCAGCACCAAATCAGATCAGCTTTGTTGTTGAAGTCAATTGTCGGCCCCGAGGTAAGGAGTGGGACTCCTTGATGGTCACATTTGGACCGAACATTGCATGCCGAGATTCAATGGATGTTCGGTGCATGAGATGGTCGTCTAATTTGATAAAAGAAAACACATTCCTACTCCACGACGCGCTCGCGAAGGCAGCCGGCGACTTTTTCAGGTTGAACGTGTGGTGTTGAATGGCGCGGTGAGGCCTTTAGTGCTTAACCCAGGACCCTCTGCTGGGGATGCCAAGACATTCGCCGGTTGAGGTACTATGCACGTATACGAAAGACAAACGTGTCCGAGAAAGGTCGCAGGTGCTGGGAATGAGTGGCTATTTGTTCGAAATCCGAGGTGCCAAGGGCTCTAGAGGGAAGGGCGGGCGTTGAGGTCAGGGAAAAAATGCCAAGACTCACGGGGTCTTGTTCGGGTCCGGGTGTGGGGCCGAGGACAGGGCTGATTTCTAACCCGTACCGCGTTGGACCCTCCTTTGGTGGGGCGAACTATGGTCGGCAAATGCTTCGACGCCCTGCTCGAGTTCGGGTCCGAGATGCTGTGCCTGTCACAAGCGTCCAAGGGCCAGTGTCGATGCTCGGTGTTGACTCAGTGCGGTGATTAGCCCCTTCATCGCTCCCAGTGTGTTTCATACGCCATTGGTCCTCACTGCAATGCGTCACCGTGAACCCCGTTATACGTGTTAGTCCGAGTCTTTTTCTCTCTCTCTCGTTGTTGGCCCCTGGACCGAAGAAGGCTTAGCTGATGGATTCGTGCCCGTGCCTGGCCCCGGCTGTCCCGGTCGTGTACTGCGTTCCATGGAGGCCGCGTGCGGGATCGAACAGGAGACCGTCCGGGGTTGTGAAGCGGAACGACAACGAATCCCGCTATCTCCTGAGAAAAACACGATCGAATTCATCAGATTTCTTCTACTGCCCCTTGCATTACATCATACTTTGGTTCGTCCCTATTTGTAAAAGGGAGGGTCATCCTTTTCACGTCCCTCGTTGACTTTGGACAAGTCGTTCCTCCACAGGCCAACTCGCCCGTCAATCTCTCAGAGAAAGGCCCAAGGCGGAAGACTATTACCTGATACACGAACTAAATCTCGAAAGGATCAGGTGAGGACGATCACTTTGCTGTCAGACACTGTTTGAGTCCGCCCACGTGGATCTCATTCCAAAAATTCTCCATCTAACAATAGTGATCTTTCAGACGCACAACGAGCAATTCCCCTTGATCTCACGGGTCTTCCCCAACCACAGCTCACCATGTACTCTGCAGCTCAGGGTGGTGAGGCTTTGGGGGCAGCGCCTCGGTCCCCCAACGGAAGCCAGCAAACCTACGTAAACGAGGCCGAAATGGCAAACCACATCGCCACGGACAACAGCAGGTCATACCTGGACGGCCAGGATCTGGGATCGAAGGATAGGAAGGCAGGCAAAGGCGATTCTGGGGACTCGACATCGACGAGTGATGATGACACCGGAAACGAGACTGAGATGGAACGTCGACACTCCATCGTGCAAGACCTTGCCCGGCAGTACACTCAACACTCGATCGTCGACATCCAAGGGAACCCGCAAACCCTTTTCGGAAGCGATGACCCCAACTCGAAACTCAATCCCCGTGGCGAAAAGTTCAGTGCGCGATCATGGGCGAAGACCCTCGCCAAGATGACCACTGAGCAGGGCGCAGGATTCCGACAGGCCGGATTTTGCTATCAAAACATGAACGTCTTCGGTTACGGCAATGAGACGGACTACCAAAAGGATGTCTCCAATGTCTGGCTCGAGGTATCGGGGCTTGCCAAAAAGCTTACGTCAAAGACCGGCGGCCAGCGACGTATCGACATTCTGCAAGACTTGACGGTGG